TTTTTTTTTTTTTTGAACTACGCTATATTCTTCTCTCAAATCTTTCATCATCTTTCAATTGCCATTTTTTATGTTTCTAGAGTTTTCAACTACTAGTTAGTAATTAATATTCAATTGTTTCCCCCGCTTTCAGACAGATTTCCGTTGGTGAAATCATCATCTGTGGGGTGATATGAGGGTGTCTGCCAAGAGGTAAAACCCCTTAAATATTGTCTTAGAGCCTAAGTTAGACGATTTTTCATTGTTTGTTCGGGGTTGCGTGTAGGGGGGGGGGAGGTAGTGCTGTGCAAAACAAGAACAACTTTGGGGTAGTGAGAACACAGACATACTGAGGGAAGCAGCCCATGTGGATGAACCGTGAGCTGATGAACTGAATAGACGAGATGTCACTGTTCATTAGCACGTCACGAGTTCGAATCCTGCCTGAATCAGATGGAAAACTCAGATGGGTACTATGAGGTTAGGGCCCTTAGGGGCAATAGAAAAACAATAGTTGCCCATCAACGGGGACGCCGAGACGGCAATTAACACGAGGAAGAAACCCTGCGGCCTGCAGATTGAATCCTGACTCCTGAAAACTGCCGAGTTTAAACTCTGAGCAGAAACTCCAAAACACTTAATTACCTTAAAAGCTAGGCTACCAGCTAGGCCGCCCGGGTCCCGGGTGGCCAGCCCGTGCAACTCTTCTAGTCCCGCGCTGGTGTGCCTGCTGTGTGCATTTAACGAGTTCCTTTTCCTCTCATCTCTTGGATGTGATAGGAGGCTCACCTGCGGCATCCGTATGGTTGATGATGTTTCGATTTTCATACGTTACAGAAATGGCAACTCAGAATCGCATGCTGTGGCTCAGTCCATTTTGAGCAAGTTCCGGTTCTGTTACGACTCGAACCTGGTGCTAGAGTGCAATAGTGACAACGACTGTTGGGATTTTTTGGGGTGTGTGCTGAAGGTTCTGGAATGGCCGTGAAGCATTCAATGTGTCGCCCTGCCAAGAACCAAAGTTTTTTTAAGGAAGATAGGCTACGTTTTCAGAATCTGCAGGATTTCGACTCTTTCTCCTGCAGGGAGCAGAAAATGGCGGTCATTTGTTCTTGCCTTCATAGGGCACAAGCTTACACTACGTTGGCAGGGATGGAGGTGGTCTTCCTTCTGACTTTGAAGATCGAGCTCAGGAAGAGGGGATTTCCTGATGAATATTTTGACAATGCCTTGCGAAAAATTTCCAGGAAATTCGGGGGCATTTGGGAGGATTGGGTCATGTACCTTACAGGCTGGGATGGTCTGCTTCGGAAAGGATGGGGTGCAAACGGGGGGCATAGTAGGCATAGTACGGATCCTTGTTATGTATCATAGTGGGGGTATGGTGTACTGTTTTTTCATTTTTTCTTTTTCTTTTTCTTTTTCTTTTTCTTTTTCCTTTTCTTTTTCTTTTTCTTTTTCTTTTTCTTTTTCTCCTTTTCTTTTTCTTTTTCTTTTTCTTTTTCTTTTTCTTTTTCTTTTTCTAAAAACTTTTCCAAAACGCTGTTTTTTTGGGGATTTTCCTGTGACCGAACATGGATGTGTCTGGTGGTGTCTGCAGGTACTGGTGGTAGTTTGGATGTTGGCCTCTTCTGACTTCGACTGGTCTTCTTCTT